ACAGACTCACAAAAGAGACTCTATGAGGAAATCTCACAGAGAGTATCATTAGAGTAGTCTCTTTATATTTGGGTATGTCTTTCCTTAGACCAGAAGTTATTACCTAGATTGTGTTCTAGAAGTCATGCTTTGACTGTATACCTCGTCTGCCTGAGACATGGAGATTCATAGGTATACTGTTGGATTTGTCCTGAAAGAGCACAGGGCTAGGGTGATAAGCTGAAGGAATTCGTCAAATCTCTATGAGAGATTAGGTTATCTGTAAACCGGAGAAATCGGGATGACATTTACAGGGACTCGGGAATCTATGCATAGTAAAAAGAGATCATGAGATGATCTGCCTTTAGAGTCAGTAAATTGAAGATTCCTTATTTCGAATAAAGCTTACCCTAAACCGCAAGGGGTGATACGTTTCCTTATCCTAGGTTTTATGGGAAGGTAACCGAGACGAAAGGAAATACATACGGCAACCAAATATGTGTAATAGGATGATCAAGTCATTAATCTAACTAGTTCTGGGGCAACAAAGCATTGTTAGTGCTCTGTGTTGTCATTAGATGAGTTGTGGGCTTATTGGGCCCAAACCCATTTATGTCAGTGGCTATGTTGGACCTAATGGGTCACACGCTAACACCTAATTGTCTAGATGAACTAGCATTAAAGATATTGGGCATAATAATGGTCATTAGTCCAAGAAGTAGTTTGGAAGTCCACCTTGAGGGTGCAGGGCGCATGGATCACAATAATGGGCTTGGATAATCCAAGACACTACTAATTAATTTAATTGGTTAAATTAATTATCAAACATTTAAATTTTGATTTTGAATTTTGAAATTTGGAATTTGAATTTTGAAATTCAAATTTTGAATTTGAATTTGAAATTTGAATTTTGAATTTTGAAATTTGAATTTTGAATTTGAATTTTGAAATTTGAATTTTGAAATTTGAAATTTGAATTTGAATTTGAATGTTTGAAAGTTTGAATTTGAATGTTTGAATATTCGAATTTAAATATTTGAATTCAAATTTGAATTGGCTATGAAAAGTTGTTTCATAACAAAAGGATAAGATAAGATCTTGTTGGAACAAATCACTAGTATCAAGAGGAGATCTTTTGGACATGATCCAAGAAGATTGGGGCGCTGATTTTGGCTGTTGGTGAGTGTCATTTAGTCATCAAAATCAGCTCCAAAAGATACGGTCTGTTGAGAGAATATTTGAGTGAGTTGATTCAAGTTTGAATGCAACTACTCAAACGTATCTGGACTCTTTTTGGGACTGAATGGGGCGCACAGTATGAGTGATCATGTGATGACCATCAGGTCAGAATCTTGATTAGATAAAGACCTTATCTCATAAGGATTCAATGGAGAGGTTGTTGGGAGTTTTGAATTGCAACAACTCCTTTATCTCCTCATTTGTTGTGCGCCACTTTCATGAGATTTTGAAGTGAAAAATCTGATTTCACTTATTTATTCCCTCACTCTCTTGTGCAATATATAAGTGTGTTCCTCCTTAGGGTTTTTTGAAAAAAAGACCTAGCCATTCTCTCCTCCTTCCATGCGCCACCTTGTGAGGTTTTCTCTCTGAAAACATCACTCTTCTAAACACATTTGCCTAGCCTCCTCTTTCATACATTGAGCGCATAGCAAGCCTCATTGTGGTGATCAATTGGTGGTTCTACAAGAAGGAGTTCTTGCATCTAGACGCGGGTGGTGTGGATCAACGTTAGAGGGTTTGAACCCTTCAGACTTGACCTTGATCATCCTGAAGTTTCACGAACAAGGTATAATATACGTCTTAAAGCACGTATCTTGATATGCATGTGTGTTCCGCTAGCGAAAAATTTTGTTTTTCCCTATCACATGCCTCGACCTTCAAGGTCATTTTACTTTCAGTACGTACTTCCCTTCCTACTTAATTTCAGTATTAGTACTTAAATTTATTGCCATTCCAACCTTTCTTTACCCCTAATTCTTGACATAAAAAAAATTTCTCTCGTTCTTCTTGTCTCTTTGTATTATCTTGTGATCTGTTTGGATTTCTTCAAGAAAACTTCAATTGAGTTCAACTAAGAACTAAAAGAGGGAATTGTAAAGAGGGGGAAAAGGCAAGAGTGTGTGAGCTTATAAGAGGGTAAAAGATTAATTTTGAAATACGAGTGTGAAGGCTGTTAATTGGGAGAGAAACACGTGAGGGTGTGTTTGTGAGGGTATTTAAACTTTTGTTTTTTGCAGATTAAAAAAATTATGTCTCAAGAAGATGCAAGTTATATTGAATTACCAGTTGAAGGAGAGCTTTTAGTGGCTAGAAGAGCTCTTAATGTGCAAGTTAAAGAGCATAAGGAGCTTTGATACCAAATGATATGAACCTCACCAAGAATAGTGAGACCCAAGACCAATTTAGTTAGGATCGTTTCTACAATCAGGAATTTAAAACAAGAAATAAATAACCTTGACCATTTATCTATGGAAGATAAGAACCAAAGGAATAAGAAGGATAAAGATGCCACACTCAAGAAAGAAGAAAGTGAGTGATAAGTCTGGTTTGAACGCCACAAGAACAAGCTTCTTGATAAGTTCAGAGTTCTAGATAAGAACCAAAAAGAAGAAACCTTTTAATTATATTATAATTTCAAAATCTGATTACAAGAGTTATTTCCTCCCTTATTTATACTTGGAACATCCCTCCAACAATAGGAAAAGACTAGCAAATGAAAAGACACTAATTTAAAGTTGACAACTTGGAAAAAGGAAAAGACTCTAATCAGCCCACTAAACATTAATAACATTGAAAATGCTATCTGCCCTACTAACCATTAATTGACATTGAAAATTGTTACTCATTCCACTCAACCTCCCTTGCATTGATGGCATTAACTAAATTCTGATCATGAATAAATTTGGACTAGCCCACATTTGTTGGATCAACCCATTGAGAGCTTCTTTAAACTTCTTGGCCCTTGATCTTGTTATTGGCCCATTTGGCAATTGCAACGAATCACTAGGTGTTGTCTCCTTATTCATATCATTCTCTCCCTCTTCAAAAGGATTTGTTCTCAAATCTGCACCTACATCAAAAGGAGATAAATCAGAAACATTAAATGTTGCACTAACATTGTACTCACCTGGGAGGTCAAGCTTGTAGGCATTATCATTTATCCTCTCAATCACTTGAAATGGTCCATCACCCCATTTAAAACCCATATTTTTCTTAATAACCTCAATCAATAGTGCTGCTAGGCTACTAAAGTTCTTCACAAACCGTCTATAAAAACTAGTCAGTCCATGAAAACTTCGAACTTCACTCACACAAGTAGGACTAGGCCAATCTTGAATTGCTTTTACCTTTTCTTCATCCACCTCTATCCCTTTAGAACTAACTACAAAACCAAGGAACACAATCTTGTTGGTACAAAAAGAACATTTTTTTAGATTTGCAAACAACTTCTCTTTCCTTAAAACATTCAAAAAAAGTTTTAAATGCTCAACATACTCATTCAAGTTTTTGCTATAAATCAGAATGCCATCAAAATATACAACCACAAATTTTCCAAGGAATGCACGCAGAACATGATTCACCAACCTCATAAAGGTGCTGGGCGCATTAGTTAAAGCAGACGGCATAACCAACCATTCATACAACCCATATGTTGTTTTGAATGCAGTTTTCCACTCATCACCTTCTTTCATTATGATTTGATGATATCCACTCCTAAGATCAATTTTAGTAAAAACACATGCACCATGCAACTCATCTAGCATATCATCAATTCTAGGAATGAGATGTCTATACTTTACAGTGATATTGTTGATGGCGCGACAGTCAACGCACATCCTCCAAGAACCATCTTAGGCACAAGCAATACTGGAACAACACATGGACTCTTGCTCTCACGCACATGCCCCTTTTGCATAAGCTCATTAACTTGCCTTTGGAGTTCCTTTGTTTCTTCAAGGTTGGTTCTATATGCTGGCCTATTTGGAATTGTTGCTCCTGGTATGAAATCAATTTGGTGCTCTATACCCCTTATTGGTGATAAACCATCGGGTATTTCTTCAGGGAACACATCCTCAAAATCCTGCAAAACAGAAACAATTGCATTAGGCAAAGAAGAATCAACTTCATTAGTGTTAAAACAAGCCTCCTTATACAAGAGTACAATCATAGGCTGTTTTAAGACCAATGTTTTGTTAATCTCACCAACTTTGACAAATAAGTTCTCTTTTTCTCTCTCTTTTCTTTTTGAACTTGTTTTTCACTCTCTTTTTCTCTCTGATTTTCTCTTTCTTTTTTATGGTCACTCTCTTTTTTCAACCTTACTTGATCCTCATACACTTGTATTGGACTTAAAGGAGCAAGAGTAATGGTTTTGTTATTCATAACCAATGAGTATCTATTAGTGTACCCATCATGCATCACACGTCGATCAAACTGCCACGGACGCCCTAAGAGAATATGCCCAGCTTGCATTGGCACAACATCACATAACACCTCATCCTTATACTTTCCAATTGAAAATGGAACTACCACTTTCTTGTTCACCTTGATTTCTCTACAATCATTCAACCATTGTAGTTTATATGGTCTAGGATGCTTTAGAGTTGCTAAATTTAACTTCTCCACCAAACTAGTACTAACAACATTTGTACAACTTCCTCCATCAATAATCATGGAACACACCTTGTCCTTTACATTGCATCTAGTATGAAAATATTTTCTCGCTGCAACTCCTTATCTTCTTTAACTAGCACATTAACAGATCTTCTAGCCATTAAATATTTTCTCCTTCAACTTGTAATTCAATATCACTTGTGTAACACCACGTATATATCCGGTATGTTATCATGTCATCGTATTAAGTTACGCTTAATTAAAAATGCGGAATATCTTTTTCTTTTCAATTATGACGTCATTATCATTACCAACTTGCTTACTTAATCATTTAATAAACATTGCCTGTATGTAAATCGCAAGGACTTCTAACTAAAATACCTCATTAAATTAACAACATAAATATGTCTCTAGTCACGGAACTACAACACGTAGACCGGACAACCCTGATAGTTTATACAACTCAGATAACTTAAACGTAACAGAAATCAAAGTGGCATGGACAAACCTCATGCTCACCCAAATAAGGCAACAAGCCCAACAGAAGTCTCAACAACAGCAACATACTAAAAGTAAGCTAAAAACATAACATCAGCATATATATCCAGCATCCAAACATGACAGCATATAAACAGCAATAATCATCAACTGAGCTCCGGCCTCTTGCCGCCAGAGGCATCAGCCCCCAAGTTACCTGAACCTGAAATAAGCATCCCCAAACGTGGGGTAAGATCTCTAAACAAGAAATCTCAGTAAGACAAGGGGTCTTCAAGGATCTTCCACCCCAAGCTCACTTACACGTGCAATATCAGTTCAAAAGCATTTAACAGTATAAGTTCCAAAACTCAATGCAGTGCAACAGGTATTCATGCCATGTGTGTTATAACTATTCTACTGGCCAGAGAAATGCAGTATACGTCTATTACCTACAGTTAGTACAAGGAACATCGCTTGCACCTCACCCACAGCCTCACCCTCTTGTATGTACCACATACTCAGACTTACCGTATAGGTAGAACACCACATGCATATCATAAAGGCACTCGCATATAACAGCTCAACAGCATTTCAACAAATCAATATATCATGAAAACAACATCATGCATATAACCATACCCCCATGGGACATGGTGGAACCAACAATGGCTAAACCGAGGACACGAAAGCTTACCTTGCAAGCTAACTATCCAATGCCAAAAGTCCACACTAGCTCAAGGCCCACAAACAGCACAATCACAAACTGTTTGAGCAATAATTAATCATCAATAATCATTACTCAAGATTACACTAAATGATTAAGTCTTTCTTACTCATTTTAACTCATTGCATGCTGTTTCTGCAGGAAGTATTCGAATACTCCACGAGTAGTATTCGAATACTCCAGCTCTCCAGAAAGTATTCGATTACTTTCATTTAAGTATTCGAATACTTTTTCAAAGGTATCCGAATACTTTTCTTCCCAGAAAAGTATTCGGATACTCCTGCAAGGAGTATTCGACTACCAGTGAACAAGTATTCGAATACCACTCGAAAAGTATTCGAATACTTCTTCACCAGAATGCAGAAATACGAACAGTGATCTGCATAATCCCATTTTTAAGAGTCCAAACGTGATTGGGAGTCCAATGACTCCCTAAAACAGATGAACACCAACATGTTATGAACTCAGAAACACCTTCTTTTACTCAAATGGTTAGAGTTTCACTTATTAATCGATTAAACAAGCTAAAAACTCCAAAATGACAAAGAGATGATCAAGGCTCACCTCAAGAGCTTCAAACTTCGAAAATGAGACACACAAGGGGCACTCAACTCAGCACCAAGGTTCAAACTAAGGCAAGACACGAATTTGACCACCAAGCTTGGTCCTTTAAGCCAAAAGATCATTTCTTGGCACCACACAAGTCATGAACCAAGCCTCCACTAAGGTAGTTCACAAACTCAGAATCACAGCCCCTAAAGCCTCACAAATGTTGAACCTAGACTCAGAAAAAGGTTCCCTACTCACAACCAAGGCCAGCCCTCACTCACTCAAGTGTTTGGGAGAAGATTCAATGAAGAACAAGGAAGAAAAGGCCACTTGACTCACAAGGTGCAAGAAGACCAGCAATGGAACAGTGCCTAAGGGCAGATCAGCCACCAAAGCCACGTAGAAAAAATAGGGAATGCCTAGGGTTTAGTGCAAAAGTTGTATATATAGGCACTAAAGCTTTAAACACACAATATTAACAATAATAGCTACGCTTAGCATTTTAATCCCAAAATTAGGATTCCGAACCTACTCAATTTTACAAGATTTATCATATTTTTATATTAATTTTCGCAGCACCTTTCCGGTACGCGCTTTTGCATAGCCAGTATCAGTTCTGGCATCAGTTCTCATTATTTTAACTTGAAACTTGAAATCACAGTCCTACATATTATTCTAGAAATATTCATGCGCTTATTATAATTTTCCGGGATACTTCAACGGTACGCATTTATACCGACTAGCAAAACCGGTATCTGCATTTTTCGTCAGAAAAGTGACTTTCAGCATTATAACTCACTTACTATAATTATTAAAGCCTCATAATAATTATTAGGGTCAATTATGAAATTATTTCCTAATTTCACATTATTAATTAATTCATTTCCTTAATTAACGGTGCGGGTTCTTACAACTTGCATCTTCTAAGGAAGGCATGGATTCATTATCAGATTCACTTTCACTTTCAATATCACCATTATCTTTCAAAATCATGATTTTGTTGTTTGGACATTGAGAAACAATATAACCTTCCCAAACACTTAAAACATTTTATGTCTCTATTTCTAGAGGATTGATATTCAGTTTTACCTTGGCTGGAAGTGTTCACAACTTGGTTGGTTTTAGAGGAACCAACTGGAGATTTGAAATGAGGCTTCTCTTCATTTTTATTCCATCTTGGTCTTGAATGAGAAGTTGAATTCTGCCCCATACGCATGGTACCCTTCCTTTTCAGTTGCCTCTCCACCTTTATGGCCATATGCACCATGTCATCTAACTCCACATAATGTTGTAATTCTACCACATTTGCAATGTCCCGATTTAAGCCAAGCAAAAATCTGGCCATAGTAGCTTCACAATCTTCATCTATATTGGCTCGAATCATGGTTGTCTCCATCTCCTTGAAATAGTCTTCAACACTTTTAGAACCTTGTGTGAGACTTTGTAATTTCTGAAACAAGTCCCTATGGTAGTGACTTCGAATAAATGGCCTTCTCATGACAGCTTTCATTTCCTCCCATGTTTCAATGGGTCTTTCACCATGTCTCCTCCTGTTTGACACAAATTGATGCCACCAAACAATAGCATAATCAGAAAATTCTATGGCAAAAAATTTTACCTTTTTCAACTCAGAGTAGTTATGACAATCAAACACCAACTTCATCTTTCTTTCCCACTCCAAGTAAGCTTCTGGATCATTTCTGCCTTGGAAGAATGGAATCTTCATCTTGATACTTTCTAGGTTATTATCAACCATTTCTTCATTATGTACTCTTCTTCCTTCATTTCGACGCTCATTCTGCCTCATATCAATCGTAGAATTGGTTTTATCTTCATTTTGATGTTCTGAAATTCTGGGTTGTTGCTCCCTTTGTTCAACTCTTTCTATTCTATCTTGCATTTCATCGAACCTGAAGTTCAATCTTTCAAATCTCTGTGTCATGGCTTCAAAATAAAATTTGAATTGTTTAGGAATTTGAGCATCACCCTCGAGACATTTTTTTTCTTGCAAAAACAAAAGTTGAAATATCCTCACAAACACACCCTCACGTGTTTCTCTCCCAATCAATAGCTCTTACACTCGTGTTTTAAAATTAGGCTTTTACCCTCTTATAAGCTCACACACTCTTGCCTTTTCCCCTTTTTTGAATTCCCTCCTTTAGTTCTTAGCTGAACTCAATTGAAGTTTTCTTGAAGAAATTCAAACAAATCACAAGATGTAATACAAAGAGACAAGAAAAACAAGAGAATATTTTTTTATGTCAAGAATTAGAGGATAAAGAAAGGTTGGAATGACAATGAATTTAAATACTAATAACTGTAATTAAGTAAGATGGGAAGTACACACTAGAATAGAAAAGAACAAAACTGAAAAGAATTCAAAGAGACAAGCTTTCACCTCAAGCAATTTAGATCAGATTTTTTTTTTCGTTTTTTTTTCCTTCCTTTTTTTTTTTTTTGCTTCTAGAGATACTAGATTCTGTTTTTTTTTTTTCCTTCTGAAGATACTAAGATTCTTTTTCCTTTTTTTGAATAGTAGCAATGGGAGTAGTTGACACAAGAAGGAGAATGAAATAGAAATAAAAACGGATTGACAATAAAATAAGGATAGATCAAACCTGATTTAGAAGACTCACTTTGATACCAAATGATATGAACCTCACCAAGAATAGTGAGACCCAAGACCAATTTAGTTAGGATCGTTTCTACAATCAGAAATTTTAAAACAAGAAATAAAGAACCTTGACCCTTTATCTATGGAAGATAAGAACCAAAGGTATAAGAAGGATAAAGACGCCAAATTCAAGAAAGAAGAAGGTGAGTGATAAGTCTGTGTTGAACCCCACAAGAATAAGCTTCTTGATAAGTTCAGAGTTCTAGATAAGAACCAAAGAGAAGAAACCTCTATATTATATTATAACTTCAAAATCTGATTACAAGAGTTATTTCCTCCCTTATTTATACTTGGAAAATCTTTCCAAGAATAGGAATAGACTAGCAATGAAAAGACACTAATTTAAAGTTGACAACTTGAAAAAAGAAAAAGACTCTAATCAGCCCACCAAACATTAATGACATTGGTAATGTGAATTAACCCCACTAAGAATTAGAGTAAACACCATTTTTGGTCCCTAGCAATATTAGCTAAATCCATTTTAGTCCCTGGCAATAAAAAAGTACCAAATTGGTCTCTAAAGTTATGAAAAAAGGGTCACGTTAGTCGTTCTGTCAACTCCTCCGTCACGGTCAAACTAACGGTGCCCATGTGGCACGTTATCTGCTGACGCGGACTCCACGGTGGACACGGTGGAAAGCTGGACGATGACGTTTTGAATCAAAAGGATTGCAAAGCTTTCAAAAGGACCAAACGACATCGTTTTATTCTTGAGAAATCAAGAGGCACCAACACTGCAAGTAACCGTGGAGACTCGTTTTTTTCACTAAGTTATTGCATATGATTGGAAGACCATTGTTGACCTCCACTGGAAGCTTCGTTGAACGGTGAGGGTTGTCGAATACGGTGGTTGCAGGGAAGGCAATCGAGCGTGGACTTTGAAGGTTGTCGAAAGGCTGGTCCTGTGGTGGTGAAGGGAAGTTCGAGTCTGCTGGTTTTCTTACATGCAGTAAGGTAAGTGTTTTTTTAGAAAATCTTCAATATTTGTGGTCCCCCCTCACCTCATGTTGTCTATTCTTTGTTGGAGGATGGTCCCCCATGTGCGCTCCATTGTGAGTTATCATGGTTAGGGTTTAAAAAAAAATACCCATTTATGTATGTGGTCCCCTTCACTACCGGTTTGTGAAGTATATTGCCATTTTTTAGTGCATTGTGGTCACCAATTTTTTAGTGCATGCATAATTTGTAAAGGTGCAATTTTTTTCCACGTTATTGGCTTGTCCCCCCTCTCGGCAATGATGAGTTTGATGTATATGGTTATTGCCATTTTTTAACTTGGTTTGTGGACCCTGATGTTTGCATGAATTTATTGTAATTTACAGCCCTGTGTTGATTTTTTTCCAGATGGATGAATACATAGTGATAAGGTATCATCATGGGGGTGTGTTGAAGAGAGATGATAAAGGGGCCCTAACCTATGTAAATGGAAAAATGGTTGACTTACCTGAGATGGATGCTGACTTTGTCAACCTGCGTGACCTTGATACTCTGTTCAAGGGTTATAGGTATGAGACGTGTAAGCAAATGTTGTGGCTCATGCCAAACGCAACGAATTTAGACGTAGGTTTGAGGCCTTTGAATACGGACGTTGATATTGTGGAGATGGTCAAGGCTGCATTGAGTAATGGCAAGCTCATAGAAATTTATTTTGAAGATTGCATTGCAACCCCTGTCTATGTTTCACCGGAAGAAGTTATTGCACATGCACATGAGGGTGGCAGTGGTGGGAAGGAGGATGAGGGTGGCAGTGGTGATGGATTGGAGGATGAGGGTGGCAGTGGTGATGGGTTGGAGGATGAGGGTGGCAGTGATGGTGATGAGGATGATAGTGGCAATGGTCATGGGTTTTCTACTGATTCAGAAGATAGTGTGGAGGATGAGACATATAAACCTCCTCCACCTATGTATGATACAGAAACAGAGAGTGAAGAGGAGTGCAAGGGGAAGGGTAAAGCTGTCGAAAAAAAAAAGCAAAAAAGGAAGAAAAAAAAGCAGGTTGAAGAGTTGGCAGGGGAAAATACAATGGAAGAGGATGAGAAGTCAATGTCGTTCGAGGAGGGTGGCTATGGGTATAACTCTGAAGAGTTGAACACACCTCCTTCAAGTGGTGCTGAAGAGGATGAAAGGTTGTAAATCCAAAATTTAATGTGCATGAAGAGTTTGGTCATGTACACTTAGAGGTAGGAATGGAGTTTGTGAGTTTTCAATTATTTAAAAATGATGTTGAAGAAGAACAAGGGAGTAGTGCATAAGCCAACTGGAAATGAGTGGATATAATGCCCTTTTTTTGTAAATTCTGGCCATTTTTTTTGGAGGCCTTTACAGATATAATGTAATCATTTTGATGCATGGCCAAGATTGTATTTATAGGCCTCACTTATGATTCCTATTAGTTGGCTTTTATTTGTAATGCACTACTGTTTTGTAGTTTTAGGAAGACAATTATTGTGGATTCTGGTTATATTCTATACATGCATGTTAAGTGCCATTTATTTTGGTTGATAGCTGATGAATGATGCAGGGTTGATGCATGTTATTATGCACTACTGTTTTCCTGTTTTTTAATTTTTAATTTTCTGATCATCTGTTTTTTTGATCATCTGTTTAATTTCTGATCATCTGTTTAATTTTGGACTGTTTTTTAATTTTGTCATATGTTTGGACATATTGGACAACATCTGTAACTGAAATGTGTCTTCTGTTTTGAACTTGTACTGGACAACATCTGTTTTGAAATGTGACTATTTTGATCTGTTTGGGGACCAATAAGGGCCCCGTGCATTTTGTTAGGGACCAAAATGGTCCTCGTGCAATGCCATATTTTGCATTGGTGCACAACTATAGCCCTTTTAAATATGGAACTTCTATAACAGCAATTTCATGATTTATGCATCTATATCTGTACATGGCTTATTCATTCCATGCATAACTATGCAATAAGTTAGGGACCATTAAGTCCACTGTGCATTTTGTCAGGGACCATAATGTGCCTCGAGTAACATTGCAAGGGACCTAAATGGCCCTCGTGTTTTGCAATCGGTAACAACATTATGCATATCAGTATGCAACTTCTGTATGTGCAATTCATGAGTTATGCATCTCTATCAATAGCAATCTAATTAGGCCATATGATAATACACACAAACAGATTGGAACTAACACATAATTTGAATAACATAAAGAAGGAGTACTCATTACAATTCACTGAAGGAAAAATACATTTGGGTCACTTGTTTTCACTTTTACCACACTAACAACAGACATACAGATCATTATCACAGCAGCACAAGCACCTAAGACCCTAGCTGACCTATCAACTGTCCTAATTTTTTTGTCCATCCTATCTAACTCCTCCACCATCTTCAGGTATACATCATTCAGTTTTCTTTCCTGCTGATGAAGCTTCATTCCTTGCTCAGTAATCTTCACATCTTGCTCTCTCATCATCATCTCCACATACTTCAACTTGAAGTTCATTTCAGCAACATCCAACTCCACAGTGTGAATTCTTGCTTCTTCCAGTTCCATGGGTTCATTACACATGTCATCTACCCATCTAAAAAAATCACAATAGGGCTTCTTCTCCTGAAAAAAATAAACACCATGGTTAGCAAGTGTTCCAACTCAATAAAGGGGCAGATTACAAATTCGTACCTTGAAATTAGGACACCCAAGGAAAGCCTTGTTTGGGTTCTTCTCAGTTTTGGAGGTATAGACAATACTTTGTCTCCCACATTTGCACCTCCAACCAGTGGTCCTTGCCATTGTTCTTCCCCCTATTGATTTACTCCCACTTGACCCGCCCCCCCATGCCAGAAGAAACACTCATCTTCTCCCACGCCCAGAAATCCGGTTGATGGCTGAATGTCTTTCGTCGAGTTTCAATCATCAAAGTGCAAACATTCTAGGGGCGTTTTGCTGTTTACAGATTTGCTCATCAATTTGGGGGATGGAGTTTCCGGTTTAGGGTTCGATTGAAGGCATTTGGGTTTTTTTCAATTTTAGGGTTCATTATTTGGGTTTTATCAATTAATTGGATTCAAGTAAAACGACGTCGTGCTTCCATGGAAAGCTTTGCAATCCTTTTGGTTCAAAACGTCGTCGTCCAGCTTTCCACCGTGTCCACCGTGGAGTCCGCGTCAGCAGATAACGTGCCACATTGGCACCGTTAGTTTGACCGTGACGGAGGAGTTGACAAAAGAACTAACGTGGCCCTTTTTTCATAACTTCAGGGACCAATTTGGTACTTTTTTATTGTCATGGACTAAAATGGATTTCGCTAATATCCTTCCAAGAATAGGAATAGACTAGCAATGAAAAGACACAAATTTAAAGTTGACAACTTGAAAAAAGGAAAAGACTCTAATCAGCCCACCAAACATTAATGACATTGGTAATGTGAATTAACCCCACTAAGAATTAATAACATTGAAAATGCTATCAGCCTCACTAAGCATTAATTGACATTGAAAATTGCTACTCATTTCACTCAACCTCCCTCGCATTGATGGCATTAACTAAATTTTGATCATGAATAAATTTGGACTTGATGTCTTCATGATTAGCCTACATTTGCTGGATCAACCCACTAAGAGCTTCTTTAAACTTCTTGGCCCTTGATCTTGTTATTGGCCCATTTGGCAATTGCGATGGATCACTAGGTGTTGTCTCCTTATTCATAACAGTGTCATTCGGAGTTGTATAATGCCCTGTGTGTCAAAATGAGTATAGATAGCAAAATGGCATTGCTCTCGGTTTGCAACTTCCAAAAATTGTATCTCCCTCATTTCTTACTCAATTAGGCTTATGATATATAAAATTGAAGGTATAGGTGCCTAATATGCCGTATAAAAATTTGAGAGCAATTGGATTATTAGAACTCCCGTAGTGACAAAAACAGTAAGGGTTGTTTGGTGCCCTACACGCAGAGTGTTGATAGTTTTGAGCAGTTAAATTACGGCGAGCGCATCCGGAGTTATAGAATTCCAATTGAGGCGTGTGATACCTCGTTCGAAAGCTAGAAAAGTCTAGTTTAACATAATAATGTGGGTTTTAAGTGGGGTGATGGACCATTTCAAGTGATTGAGAGAATAAATGATAATGCATACAAGCTTGACCTCCCAGGTGAGTACAATGTTAGTGCAACATTTAATGTTTCTGATTTATCTCCTTTTGATGTAGGTGCAAATTTGAGGACAAATCCTTTTGAAGAGGGAGAGGATGATATGAATAAGGAGACAACACCTAGTGATCCATTGCAATTGCCAAATGGGCCAATAACAAGATCAAGGGCCAAGAAGTTTAAAGAAGCTCTTAATGGGTTGATCCAACAAATGTGGGCTAATCATGAAGACATCATGTCCAAATTTATTCATGATCAGAATTTAGTTAATGCCATCAATGCAAGGGAGGTTGAGTGGAATGTAGCAATTTTTAATGTCAATTAATGGTTAGTGGGGCTGATAGCATTTTCAATGTTATTAATGCTTAGTGAGGTTGATTCACATTTCCATTGTCATTAATGTTTAGTGGGCTGATTAGAGTCTTTTCTTTTTTCCAAGTTGTCAACTTTAAATTAGTGGCTTTTTATTTGCTAGTCTTTTCCTATTCTTGGAGGGATGTTCCAAGTATAAATAAGGGAGGAAATAACTCTTGTAATCAGATTTTGAAGTTATAATATAATTGAGAGGTTTCTTCTCTTTGGTTCTTATCTAGAACTCTGAACTTATCAAGAAGCTTGTTCTTGTGGCGTTCAAACCAGGCTTATCACTCACCTTCTTCTTTCTTGAGTGTGGAATCTTTATCCTTCTTATTATACCTTTGGTTCTTATCTTCCATAGATAAAAGGTCAAGGTTCTTTATTTCTTGTTTTAGATTCCTGATTGTAGAAACGATCCTAACTAAATTGGTCTTGGGTCTCACTATTCTTGGTGAGGTTCATATCATTTGGTATCAAAGCTCCTTATCTTCTTTAACTTGCACATTAAGAGCTCTTCTAGCCACTAAAAGCTCTCTTTCAACTGGTAATTCAATATCACTTGCATCTTCTTGAGACATAATTCTTTTAATCTGCAAAAAACAAAAGTTTAAATACCCTCACAAACACACGCTCACATGTTTCTCTCCCAATTAACAGCCCTCACACTCGTGTTTCAAAATTAAGCTTTTACCCTCTTATAAGCTCACGCACTTTTGCCTTTTCCCCCTCTTTTGAATTCTCTCTTTTAGTTCTTAGCTGAACTCAATTGAAGTTTTATTGAAGAAATCCAAATAGATCACAAGATGTAATACAAAGAGACAAGAAGAACAAGAGAATTTTTTTTTTTATGTCAAGAATTATGGGTAAAGAAAGGTTGGAATGGCAATAAATGAAAGTACTAATACTAAAATTAAGTAGGAAGGGAAGTACACATTGGAATAGAAAAGAACAAAACTGAAAAGAATTCAAAGAGACAAGCTTTTACCTCAAGCAATTTAGATAAGATTTTATTTTTTTCGTTCTTTTTTTTTTTGCTTTTCAAGATACTAGATTTTTGTATTTTATTTTTCTTGCTTCTGAAGATACTAATAACTTTTTTTTTTCGTTTTTCCTCCTCTCTTTTTTAAACAGTACCAATAGGAGTAGTTGACACAAAAAGGAAAAAAAATACGGTTAACAATAAAATAAGGATAGATCAAACCTGATTTAGAAGACTAGCTTTGATACCAAATATATGAACCTCACCAAAAATAGTGAGACCCAAGGCTAATTTAGTTAGGATCGTTTCTACAATCAAGAATTTTAAAACAAGAAATATAGAACCTTGACCCTTTTTCTATGGAAGATAAGAACCAAAGGTATAAGAAGGATAAAGACGCCAAATTCAAGAAAGAAGAAGGTGAGTGATAAGTCTGTGTTGAACGCCACAAGAATAAACTTCTTGATAAGTTCAGAGTTCTAGATAAGAACCAAAAAGAAAAAACCTCTTTATTATATTATAACTTCAAAATCTGATTACAAGAGTTATTTCCTCCCTTATTTATACTTGGAAAATCCTTCCAAGAATAGGAATAGACTAGCAAATGAAAAGACACTAATTTAAAGTCGACAACTTGGAAAAGGAAAAGACTCTAATCAGCCCACTAAACATTAATAACATTGGAAATGTGAATTAACCCCACTAAGCATTAATAACATTGAAAATGCTATCAGCCCCACTAAGCATTAATTGACATTGAAAATTGCTACTCATTCCACTCAACCTCCCTCGCATTGATGGCATTACTTAAATTCTAATCATGATTAAATTTGGACTTGATGTCTTCATGATTAGCCCACATTTGCTGGATCAACCCACTAAGAGCTTCTTTAAACTTCTTGGCCCTTGATCTTGTTATTGGCCCATTTGGCAATTGCAATGGATCACTAGGTGTTGTCTCCTTATTCATATCAGTGTCATTCTGAGTTGTATAATGCCTTGTGTGTCAAAATGAGTAGAGATAGCAAAATGGCACTGCTCTCGGTTTGCAACTTCCAAAAATTGTATCTCCCTCATTTCTTACTCAATTAGGCTTATGATATATAAAATTGAAGGTATAGGTGTCTAATATATCGTATAAAAATTTGAGAGAAATTGGATTATTAGAACTCCCGTAGTGACAAAAACAGTCAGGGATGTTTGGTGCCTTGCACGCAGAGTGTTGATAGTTTTGAGGAGTTAAATTACAGCGAGCGCATCCGAAGTTATAGAACTCCAATTGAGGCGTGTAATACCTCGTTCGAAAGCTAGAAGAGTCTAGTTTAACATAATAAATTATGAAAATTTGTGGACTTGTAGTCCATGTGCGTTTTTTATAAAACTAAAGGTACCTCAAATCTGAAAAATGTAAAAGTGTGTATTTAAACTTTGTTGGTCTATGGGAACCACTTAGCAACTTTAAATTCAAGTTGTGTATGATGTTAAGATATAGTAATTTACTTCCGCAATAAGTTTTGAGTTAACAATTGGTAAAATGTTTAACACAGATGTTTTAAAAGTGCAAACGGTAATAAAAAGAAAGAAAAAATCCGTAATTTAAATAATTGTTGTGATTGTAACTATGCTTAATATTATAATTGATGAGAATACACCAGTCCGGTAACGGAGTGTTACACAAGTCATTACTAATTATTTTATAATTAACATATAGGACCATATAAGGTAATCTCCTGTTGGCTAAGTAACCAACTTGGTTCCACACACTTACTTACACTTGAAATGATACAAGAATACTTCCTAGGTATCAATTACCATTTATTTAAGCTTTCAAGCCTAATAAGCCCCACATGACCGAACCATGCTCTTAAGGGTACCATAATCCTTTCAAACTTCAATTAACCAATAACTTAGCTTATTAATCTAGGCAATCATCACATTAGATGCATCAAATTTACAATTTCAACATTATTTCCCTAGGTATGACCGAAACATACACCTAGGTTTCCATCAATTTCTCATGTCTTCAATTGGTTGCAAACTAACTCATTTTACATAGAATTACACAAGAACCAATCATTAGCCCCTGTGCCACGTTATATAAATTCAATTATTTGTTCCACAAGTTATTGTCCAAAATGATGACCTATAGGTCCATTAAGGGTTCATATGATTCAAATACCTCATTAGCTAGATCAATTACTTCAAACTGGCCCACTAGTCATAATTATCATTTAAATAACCCTAAAACACAACCATATATTATTTCTTCCCTTTGAAGGTCGAGGCATACATACAAGGGTTCATTAGGTTCACATGGTTCAATTGATTAGTTCATTAATCTAACCAACTTAACTTAGCTCACAAGCCATTGACATTTATCAAATGATAATTAAAAACGCTTCATCACCTCTTTTTCCTCACAAGGTCGAAAATGCACAAGAGATAGGCATGTGGGATTACAAGATTTTCACACAAATTTTTGTTGTTTTCCAACACTCATGATTCCACATAGGCATTTCATCAAACACTTGATCCTCACTCTTTTTCCTTCATGGGTCGAAATATATATCAAGATTAGGCTATCCATTTTTCAAGTTTTATCATCCAATAACAATGCATAACCATGATTTAACATCAACATACATAATCACAAGAACTCCATGAAAATCCATAGAAAACCTAAGTTGGTATCTTGAATAACAACCTACCAAATTCAAGTTTCATACCTTAAATGAACTCCCAAGGACCAAGAGATGATTATCCAAGCTTCAAGCTAAGAAAACAACTCCACTTTTGCAGCTGCCATGAACAGTGCACAGAGAGGAAAAGAGAGTAGAACTCTTCAAAAACAGCCATCCATAATGAACCAAGTGGTGGGTTAGATTCCTAAGACCTAAAGCTTCAAAAAAATGGACCAAACAAGGAGCTATGAGCTTGTCTTCTTCTCCTTTCAAGCATCGGCCATGAAATGCAGAGGAAGGGGGAGGTCGCGTGAAGAGAGAAAAAGAGAGGGTGACCCAATTTTTTGAGTGGAAAAGTGGTTTAAATTGGTCTATGTTGACTTTTTCACTTAAAATTTATCCTATTAGTTAGTATTTTAATTCACTTTGACCTAATTAATTTTAATTTTTTCTAGTTATAATCTACTTAATAAACAATATTTTAAATCCATAATATACTCTAAATAATCCAATTAACCATCAAAATTAAGTTTAAACCATATTTTGCCTATTTACAAAATGATTTCTAAACTTTACCATAATTAAACTTTGACTCGTAAACTTATATAATAATATTAATTGGGTCATAAATGACTTGTTTGACATAATTAAACTTCCACATACTTATCATATAATTACCTCCTAATCCATGCTTAATTCCATAATTAATCCGATAATTAATCTATACACATGTATGGGTTATTATCCCAAGGCTAGGTTGTTGTCTTGGAGTGAAATTTTTTCTCTTGTTTGTTATTAGTGTAATTGTCTGTTAATCTGTATCTAGTTTCTTTATATCAAATTGAGGTTCCATCAGTCTCTCTCTCATTCTTTCTCTTCAATCTTCTCTTTTTTTCCTAATTCTCCCTTCCTTCTAATTTATGTTGCTACAGTTTCATTTTGATTTCATCCAAACATACATGCAATGTTGTGGTTGACCATTTGGCTTTGCTAAGGACCACGGCATATATGGCTAGAGGAGCCATCCTTCTCTATTTCCAAATGGACAGCTTTCGATTTCAATGATGAACCAATTCAAATTGACGATATATATATATTAAAAGAAAAACTATTTTTATTTTTTCTTCTGTGACTGATATAAAGAAATTTTGTAAAGCTGCGTCCAAATGCAGAATAAGATGGAAGAAATAAAGTGAATGAACATCCAAGTCCAATATTCATGAAACTCTTAATAGAATGTTGGATAGGTATGCGCCTTCTGGATATGATGGATCAATAGGATGATCACAAGCTGCTCCAGCCTGTCTTAGAACAGTGATTTTCCTCCCTGCCATAGATGCTGCACCCTGATAAAATGAAACAATGGTTACATTTCATTAACTTAGAATTGGCAGGTTAGTCTTATAAGTAAAATATATATTCAATAAGCATTTGGCAAGGCCTTAACAGCATAATAATTGTGCGCAGATAAATGTTTAAAGGTCAAAAACATTCATATCACACTGAATTGAAGTGGTGATGGGGGGTTCCTCAAATTGTAGGAGTCTAAAACAACTACTTCGCATTAAACCTAGAATAGCAAGAGTAGGGACGACGGCAATCTTTGTGCCCAACCTTTTAGTCACAAACCAATGACCTTTTAGTCACAAAGATTGTAAGAGTGTAAAAAAGGAAAAACATATGAACCACCAAACCAAATTGAACCACTCTATAAATATTCAAACCGTTTGAAAAGTTTATTGAAACTAGCGCTTTTTTTGTTTTTAATTAAAAAAAGGTTCAGTAACCGACCCTATTTTGATTTTAATACAATTCGGTGGACCACGTAGGACTGAACAGTATATATATATATATATGGAAGGCAAAAGCCCAAAAACAAATATTACATACACACGTTTGACATCAACCTTCGGTCTTCAGTGAGTAAAACACTAAGACCGGAGGGAATATTATAAAAAATATGTAATCCTAAAGAAGATTGAAGTCCATATTTAGCCATCCAATGTGCACAAACATTTTGAGCTCGAGGGAGATATGCATAGCAGACATTCCAATCCCTTTGCACCAGTTACGAATATTTGCCAAGGTAATATTCTCCCTATGATTATGTTGTTTCTGATCCATTATAGAGAGAGCAGTTGTGGAGTCACCTTCAACAATAATATGACGGATTCCTAAACTCCATGCTACTTCCAAACCTTTAAGAATACCCAAGATTTCAGCCTCTAGAGGGTTACAATACAGATAGGAAAATGAGAAGCCTCCAATCCAATTACCAAGATCATCTCTTAAAATACCACCACTTGTTGCACGATGTAATGAATGCAAGGACGCTCCATCAAGATTCAACTTACACCATCCTTTTTGGGAAGCTTGCCAAATATAAGATTTATTGGTTTTCATGAGGCATGAATATCAGCAATATAATCAGAGATGATATTAACAGCATTCATTGCCTAGATAGGAAAATGAGAAGCCTCCAATCCAATTACCAAGATCATCTCTTAAAATACCACCACTTGTTGCACGATGTAATGAATGCAAGGACGCTCCATCAAGATTCAACTTACACCATCCTTTTTGGGAAGCTTGCCAAATATAAGATTTATTGGTTTTCATGAGGCATGAATATCAGCAATATAATCAGAGATGATATTAACAGCATTCATTGCCTAGATACTTGAAACTACTATCATGAACAAATTGGTTTTTCCAATACCATAAGAACCACCAGGATGTGAAGAATATATCACGCCAGTCACCATGGGATGCCACTTGCATAAAACCTTCCAAATTAATTTTCAACCAATGAGTAGGACTTCAGTCAAAGAAGGTTGAAGCAGAATGATTACCTATCCATTGTATCCACAATATCTTCGCATGAGTGCAGTCACGTGATAAATGGATAATAGTCTCCACCTTGTATGGACAAAATGGGCAGAAAGCATTTGATGAACCCCATTTACTAGTAAGATTGTTAGTAGGAAGTCGTTGAAGCAAAGTCTTCCACATGAAAATCTTAATTCTTTCAAGACCTTTCCAATTCCATAGCTTCTTCCAATGAAAAGGGGATTCATCATCAAGGCAGTCCATGAGACTACACATATGCCACCTTAACTAGAGAGGATGATTTATGGTTATTCACTGTAAAGAACCAATTCATCCCAGAAGCTTAAGCTGGTGGGTGAGGGCTTTTTAATGGTTTTATATATCTTAACACGCCCTCTCACACGAGAGCCCACTGGGCTTGAAGGGTGGACAATGCACAGGCCCACCTACCTGTGCGAACAAAGAAATTCCACTTGAAAGAAAGTGGGGGGCGGCGAGGATCGAACCCGGAACACAAGGCTCTGATACCATGTAAAGAACCAATTCAACCCAAAAGCTTAAGCTGGTGGGTGAGGGCTTTTTAATGGTTTTATATATCTTAACATTCACCCATATCAGTTTATCTTCTCATGCTTCTTCATTTGGAGTATGTGATGTACAAATAAGGGAACAAATATCTGTTGGTAAGTATTTTTTTATATATTATAATTCCATTGACCATTACTCTGCATTGCACAATAAGAGATGGGGATACCTATATCATCTGAAGGAGGATTATGGACTGCAACTGTGAGTAAGTTGTATTTTGCCAAAAGCCAATTACAATCCCAAAATTTAACTGTATGACCATTTCTCACTTCCCATTTTAATCCCCTGAGAAAGCCACCAACATTTACCAAGACTTTTCCAGAGATTGGAGTCATATGATTTCACAACAATGCCATTTAATATAACCTTTCGAGAGAAAGCCAATTACGTTGCAAACGTTCAACTTCATCACAAATAGTGACGGGAATCAACCCATTTTGCATATGAAATGCTGGAATGGATGATAATACTGATTTAGCCAACATAACTCGACCTGCAAAGGAGAGACAATGATGGCTCAATCCTTGAAGGCGTTGCTTAACTCGGTCTAAGATACCAGTGTAGTGAGATTTAAGAGTTCGATCATGTTTAACGATTGATCCTAAATATTTTCCCATGTTTTTTGTTTGCCGAAAATGAAAAATGATGAGAATCTCATGAACTTGCTGTTCTGCAACATTAGGTGAGAAAAACCATTGTGTTTTTTCCTTATTGACTCATTGTCCTGACATTGCACTGAATTGCTCTAAACAGCCCATAACGACACCAGCTGGATGCTTCGTAGCTTCTATAAATAATAACAAATCATTTTTTAAAAAGTAAGAGCGAAATTTTAGGTCCATTCTCCCAATTTGGAAAAGTCTCCAACTACCCATATTCACCTAGTCAGCAATGAGATGAGATGACTTTTCAATGCAGAGAACAAAATTATATGGAGATAAAGGATCTCCTTAGCGTATACCTCTAGTTGATGTTATGCTGGAAGATTTTGAGCCATTAATGAGGATTCTGAATGTAGGTGACGTTATGGATGCCATCATTAGTTCAATCATCCAATGTGGAAGATCAATTTCCATTAAGGTACTACGAATGAAGCTCCAATTAAGGCGGTCATATGCTTTTTCCAGATCTATCTTGATGGCCATATAACCAGTTTTCCCTTTAAGCTTCCGCATAGAATGAATGATCTCTTAAGTTACAATAATATTGTCTTGTATTTGACGTCCAAGAACAAAACTGACTTGAAAGGGAGAGACCAATATATCCATCAGTGGCTTCAAACGGTTTACTATTGCCCTTATACAAAACAGTGCATAAAGATATGAGACGATATTGAGATATAAATTCTGGTCTTGAAATTTTTGGAATGAGTACAACAAGTGTACTATTAATCTTTTCAATTGACGAAGGATTGACCACAATGTTTTGTATATCCTTACATACCTGATCTCCTATAAGGTCCCAATTTGTTTGAAAAAATATTGTTGTATAGCCATCATCTCCGGGGGCTTTTGATCCATTCATATCAAAAAAAGCTTGTTTGATCTGCAAAAAGGTGATAGGTTGATTAAGACTAGTTATGAGTTCTGATTCAAGAACTGGCCAGCAAGTATTTGTTTGATACCAAGGTCGAATGTTATTCTCTTCCATGAATAATTTGGAAAAGAAATCAGTGATCAAATGTTCCAGAGTATCAGGGTCTCTAATCCAATGCCCCATTGTATCCTTCAACTCAGCAATCTTGTTTCGTCTTCTTCTGATCAAAGTCTTAGTATGATAATAGCGGGTATTTCTGTCACCATCTGTTAGCTATTTGGTTCTAGATTTATCATACCAGAGATGTTCTTCATAAGCCAAAACTTCATCCAGTTCCTTACGAAGTCTTTTCCACTAAATGATATTTATGATGTTCAGCCATTGATCGTTAGATGCCATTAATACGAATCAGAAGTCTATTTTTCTTGATAGCTATTGATATGAACCTCACCAAGAATAGTGAGATCCAAGACCAATTTAGTTAGGATCCTTTTTATAATCAGGAATTTAAACAAGAAATAAAGAACCTTGACCCGTTATCTATGAAAGATAAGAACCAAAGGTATAAAGAAGGATAAAGACGCCACACTCAAGAAAGAAGAAGGTGAGCGATAAGTCTGGTTTGAACGCCACAGGAACAAGCTCAAAGTAATAAGTTCAGAGTTCTAGATAAGAACCGAAGAGAAGAAACCTCTCTATTGATATTATAACTTCAAAGTCTGATTACAAGAGTTGTATCCTCAATAGGTGTTGTCTCCTTATTCATATCAGCTATAGAAGCATAAAGGTCGATCTTGCCATGTAGTATCTGTGTCAAACACAGAGATTAAAATGGGGCTATGATCACTATGGATTCTAGGTAGAATACTAGTATAACCATCTTCAAAAAGGTTTCTCCACTCTATATTAGAAGAAGCCCTATCTAACTTCTTATAAACACGGCCTAGATTCTTAAGTTTAGGACCTCTCCAAGTAAATCTGGCTCCATATCCTTCAATATCAAGAAGTTCACAATCTTTCATAATTAATAATAGAGGCTGGCAATGACGAAAATAAACTGGGCTACCTCCACTTTTTTCTGAAGCATGGGCAATGTCATTCAAATCTCCAGTAACAATCCATGGACCAGAAACAGTTTGTTTAATTCTTCGAAGGACAGTCCATAAACTCAGATGTTCGTTTGCACAAGGACATGCAAAAACAAAAGTACACCAAAAAGCTTGTTTCTCATGAAAGGTTATATTAAAATGGATAAATTGTGGGGACTCCTCGAAAACAGTAATTTGAGTGTCAATACTATTCCAAAGTAACCATAATCCTCCTGAAAATCCATGAGCATCTTCGATAATAAAATCAATGAAACCCAATCTACGAGCAATGGAGATACTCTTTTTTCAACTGATTCTAGGTTCAAAAAGAGCAGCAACATCTACTTTATGCTTTCTTACAATACTTGTAAAAGTACCTTTAAATTGTGGCTTTAATGCGCCACGACAATTCCATGCTAATATAGACATTAATAATAGGTATTAGAACCAGGTTTACGGGATTCCTGTAACCCTTTGCATTCCTGGTCTTCAACATCATTTTGGTCGGGAGAATCTACTTCCATATTTTTGGTGTTAATAGAAGCAGACTGGAAATCCTGTTTCTGGTTACTTAGTACATCTATATCAGAAGTAAGAAAAACCTGAGAACTTGGGTCAGGGGCTTTGGGATGATTAACTCCATTATCATCATATGAAGCATCAACATTGCACTCCTACTGATTAGACGTTGGTCCATTAATAGGAGCACTATCAATATGCATGTCATTAGCATTATAGTATGCTTTTATACTCCCACATAAACGTTTCTATTTATTGGTGTAAGGTTGTGACTAGTAAAGTCATTCTTCTTTGGAAATACACTCCACCTGATTGGTTTGTTATATTTGCATGGTCATGTGATGTCCCAATTAACTCGTATTTGTCTGTTCCTTCAATAAGGATGGCCTTTTCTTTCTTAGTCTTCAAGTGTTGATTTGAAGCTTTTTCTTCTGAAGTCTTCATCTCTTGTTGAGGGATAATGGCATCACACTAACCGTCAGCAATAATTGCACCATCTTTGGAGGCAGCTAGCACATGGAAAGGATTTTGCTGACGTGGCAACTTTGTAGATAGAGAAGGGTTAGTTTTTTCCTTTCTACGTGGATAACCATCGGTAACTGTCTTATGGGCAGTAGTAACCATTGGGGATGCACCTCCAACCGTTGGGCGTTGTCTTCTGAGTTTCTGAACCACCATCCATGGCCTAAAAGCTTGATTGGTTGTCGGCTTCGGTGCCACAGTTGGGATAGATTCTGTTGATTCCTCATGAACATGCGTAGCATGATATGAACCTCACCAAGAATAGTGAGACTCAAGACCAATTTAATTAGGATCGTTTCTATAATCAAGAATTTAAACAAGAAATAAAGAACATTGACCTGTTATCTATGGAAGAAAAGAAACAAAGGTATAAAGAAGGATAAAGACGCCACAGTCAAAAAAGAAGAAAGTGAGTGATAAGTCTGGTTTGAACACAACAAGAACAAGCTTCTTGATAAGTCCAGAGTTCTAGATAAGAACCAAAGAGAAGAAACCTCTCTATTGATATCATAACTTCAAAGTCTGATTACAAGAGTTGTATCCTCCCTTATTTATACTTGGAACATCCCTCCAAGAATAGGAAAATACTAACAAATGAAAAGACACTAATTTAAAGTTGACAACTTGGAAAAATGAAAAGACTCTAATCAACCCACTAAACATTAATGACATTGCAAATGTTAATCAACCCCACTAAGCATTAATAACATTGAAAATGCTATCAGCCCCACTAAACATTAATGACATGGAAAATTGCTAATCATTTCACTCAACCTCCCTTGCAATGATGACATTAACTAAATTCTGATTATGAATAAATTTGCGCTTGAAGTCTTCATGATTAGCCCACATTTGCTGGATCAACCCACTAAGAGCTTTTTTAAACTTCTTGGCCCTTGACCTTGTGATTGGCCCATTTGGTAATTGTAATGGATCATTGAGTGTTGTCTCCTTGTTCATATCATAGCATCACTAATAGGAAAGTCTGGGCATTGATCTTTGTTATGACCGTATTTACCACAAGAAACATATAAGAAAAAGACACTCATATTCAATATGTTTGATGTTTCCCTCCAGCTTGTAACTTGGATGTAGTGGTTGAGTCAGATCAAGGTCAACACAAATGCGAGCATATCTTCCCCTTGTTTGAGCCATAGTGGTGTGATCAATGCATAAGGTTTTAACCAGTTGGTCCCCTACGGGATCGCAAAAAAGGTCCCTCGTAATTTCCATGGGTATGTTAGGGAGACGTATCCATGCTGCTATTTTCTTAATGGTATCAACATAAGGATTGAAGTCAGGTTCCCACCGTCACATAGAAAGGTAAATGACCTTGTATTATCCATGGCCCTCCATTAAGAGCAAATGCAAAGTCTTCTTTTGTAGAGAATTGCACAGAAAAATATTCATTTCCTATATCTGAAACTGTAATGACCCAGAAAGATTCTAACTTTCGTTTTTAAAAGTCACTCCAATATGTTTCCCAAGCAGTTTCACAATCAAAGCAGACATCCATGCTCTGCGCATTCTATGCGCAACCTTTTGGGTGCATGAAAAGAGAAGGAGTCCATCCTCTTTTATTATAAATTTGATGCCCCATTGGTTGGCTCCTTCTTCAGCGATTGGATCATTAGATGAAGTAACATCCTCATCTATTCCAAGATCTGCATCACAATCGTCTTCTCCATTATGTTCTAGAAGAATTTGACACCAAGATTTTTGCAGGACAACGGAATTTTCTTCCATCCATGAGTCCACACAAGGAGTCAAAGTTTCGTTATTAAAAAAGGATGCATTCCCTCCCTTATTCCTTTTAGTACTACGGTCAAGAAAATCATCCTCCTCCATTGTTTACACAGGGAATTCATCTTTGCAAGTGTTTCTAGTAATCACGGGAGTTACTACATTCGCTTCGTTCGCCATCTATTGTACTTTGGTCTTTTCCAACACAGAGACAATGCTCGGAACACTGAACTGTTTTTCTCTGTTTGCCCCAAAAGCATCCTACTAATACCTTAATCAATTAAATCCTTTTATCATTTCTTTTCACTAATCAATCTAATGAAGTTATTTGTGCAATGCATTGGAGATAAAATATCACTACTTCAACATAACTTGTATGAGTTCGCGACCCAAAGGTTGGCCAAATAGATTAATAAAGGGCAAACCTCGGTGCACAAGGCTCCCTGACTTGCAAGGAAAAGGGTAAGGGTCGATTGTACGTAGCCTTACCTTTGCATTTTTGCAAAGAAACCCTTGCATTTTTTGCAAAGAGGCTATTTCCCAGAATCAAACATGTGACCTTCCTGTCACAAGAAGCAACCTTACCGCTGCTCCAAGGCTTGCCCACAGACACTGATATTACATTAAATATTTTATTTTATTATTCAGAATTATCCACTGTTAAAGCAAGGAACAAATATGATTGTTAAACCTATGAATTGTAAATAATTCTTTATAGTAAAATAACGCCTGGGTGAAAAATCTCCGAAAAAAAATCTACAGCATATATGTTGATACCTGAAGGATACGCAGGAATATCCCACTTTGAGTCACAGCTCCAGAACATGAACATGTCATCAGAAGACCACCACTTTTTGTAAGTTGCATGGCAAATGAATTCAGATTTCGGTACATACCAGATGCACCATGTAGAACCTGTAACATAATGTTAATCCAATATTCAAAGATAGAAAGCTGGAAGCTGAAAATGAGCAGAAGCAACATTGATACTGCAAATCGCAAAATTCGGAGGCAATAATAGATACAAGAATTTGCAAGATGTAATCTCATGTAATTGCTTTTAGTTCCAAGTTAGTAGATGTAAAGTACTGGTTGCATAATTACATAGTACAAAACATTAAATATCTCATTGAGAATCGGGCTCATAAAATGTAACAAAAAACCTTGATCTTCCTTGTTCTCCAATCATATTTCCAATGCAGTAAGAATATATGTGTGTGCATCAAATATAGAAGCAAGCAATTTCCATTGATTACTGTTCATGAAAATCTACTACTCGCAAAAACGGGCGTGAAAAATGGAATAATCATACAAAACTTTTTATTTTAATAAAAGAATTTCATTAAGATGAAGAGAAAAAGTTACAAAGAGAAGGGAGGATAGGGAACCCTCCTAAACAAAAGAACAAAACAGAAAACAACCAAGCAAAAAGAGAAAAATCAATGGAGCAAGGCAGCCCAATTCCTTATCTGTTAGAGAAACCCTATTTAAAAAGACCATGTGCTTTGCACCAAATTGAAGCCAAACGCCTAATCTTATCCCAAATTGAATGTTGTACCACAGAAACCTCCTTAAAAACACGAGTTCTGCTCCAACCAAATGCACCAAACTGTGGTACAGATTGCACATTGCCACAAAAATTAAGCTTGTTTACTTCTACCAAAACCATGAAAGTTAATCATTAAGAATTGGTCCAGGGACCCAGGACAAACCCAACTTTCACTGAAAATTCCGAATAAGAAATCCATAAAGAAACTGCAGCTAAACAATGTAAGATCAGGTAAGGAACAGATTCTAAGCAAGCACCCCCATTACACATAGATCAGGGTAAGAGCATTATGCAGCCTGCGAACCTCCAAAATGATATTAGTATTAATTCAATTAAGTACCACAATCTAGATAAATGATCTGATACTAGAGGGAGATTTGAATTTCAACAAAGGTTTGTTAAGAAGAAACGTAGCCCTAATCAGTGATTGGAGAATTGCATAGAGAAGAAAGACAACAAAGGCATGGGAAGTCATAAGTAAAAGGGGAATCTCCTATGCAGTGGTCCTCCAAAATTTTAACACACGAGAGTCGTTACCAAACTTCAAGGAAAGTAAAGACTTAAAGGTAGCATAACCTTGAGAGGTAAATTTACAAGGAACAAAATGAGAGGCTCAGATAGCAAGTTGGCATCGCACCCATTTGGTTAAAAATCATACTTTGGATAAACTGATGCATGAAGATAAAGAAATATATTTGATCACTTCAAAATGAAAACATTTATAATGATAGTAACATATTCTGGCGAAAAATAGGGGTATACAAGTAGTACTAGACCAATTTATGTGAAACTTCTCAAGAACTGGATTCTAAAGCAACTCATTGAGAAGTGACAAAACTAACAATCAGAGTTTTTACATCATAGAAGCAATCTGTTGCACCCTGTGGAAACATGGAGACATGCTCAACCTCAAACAGACACAGTCAAGGACACACACGTACAAGGGCAATCACAGTGGCCAAATTTTAAATGTTAACAATAGACCATAGCTGGAAATACTACAAAATGAAAAACAAATAAATTAAAAAATAAATCATATCATAAACCAACAGCGAAGAATCCCAATTACTGGGAACTTATCATTTTGGTTAGATTTGGCAGGGAGTAATTCACATACAATTCAAGAAGTAGGATTAGCATATTCCTATGGCTGCAACCACAAGCATCTCATTCAATGAGAAAACCCAACCCAAGCTAAAAGGCCTAAAATAATTTTGCATCACTTTGGCCCCTAACTCTCTTCTTTAGTTAACTGAAGCCTCCAAGTGTCAAATTATATTGTAGCATAATTATATGTTTGCTTCCATATTGATACCTTTCTTGTTGGTGCCAGTTTAGGAGGATCAATGATGACAATATCCCAGGATTCATCTCTCAAGAGAGCACCCTTCATAAACTCAGTTGCATCTTCTCTCAAAAATGATATTCTTCCTGGATCAATGTTGTTATGTACAACATTTTCTTTAGCAAGCTCCAAAGCTGGCATTGATGTGTCAATACCTAAAAATAATTGTAAACATAATCAGAATAATTAAATCACTCTAGCAGTCACAACAAAAATATAATACAGATCAGTTAAACTATCCCTGTATGTATATATTTGTTTCCTGCAAAAAAAAATTGAAAAGATCAAGTTATAATGTAAAATCAAGAACATTCTCTATTAGCCACTGATAAATTTCAAAGCTACTTATGAAGTATTTCAAGCCAGGGAAAAGAAATTCGACTAATTCAAAATAATCCTATCAGCAGTGTTAGAGAAGAGTTAGTATGTCTTATTGGGCTGGGCCAATCACTTTTGTATTAGTCTTTATTTGACAGTATAAAGAGTAATGCTGGTGCCATTCATGGGGTCACAACAAAACACGAGCTCTGCAGGCCACTGGATGACTAATTGCCTTTTAGATAAATGGTCTGCAGTTAGCAGATGCTCAATAGTTGTGGACTCTTGAATAATAGGTTCAAATTTCTTGAATATCTACCACACTATAATGTCAACATAGACAATGATAATTAACAAAGAACAAGAGAATTAGCAACATATAACATACCAGTGACATTTACAGCACCTCCACGCACTGCATTTAGAGCAAAACCACCACTATAGCAACAAAGATCAAGAACCTTTCGGCCATCTGAAATTCTTGAAATAAACTGACGACTCTCACGCTGATCAGCATAGAATCCCGTCTTCTGGCCCTTCAGCGAAATTGAGTACACAATTCCATTTTCCATAATCTGCCAGAAGGGGATGACATTATTGACATGCCCCAAAAATCTCAAACTCGGTAAATATCATATCTTCGGGACTGTAATTCCAAAATCCTAATGAAGTTTTGATTGGGCAATTTTATTTGTAAACCCAACCCCCCCCCCCCCCCCCCCCCACAAAAAATAAAAAAAAGAAAGATGTTGAAGTGATTATGCAGGTCCTATCTTTTCAGATTTTAAATCTTGGAGACGTTAAAAACATATCTTACGGTGGAAAATATATATGTAATATGCATAACGTAAGAATAAGAGAACATTTAAGATTAAATTATTTTCATTCAAAATAGAAATTCCAGAGTGTGTTTTCAGTAAAGACATATCAGATACCACTTAATTAATTATGTCCAATTATAACCTCTCAAGATATATACATATTATAAGGTAGAAAGTTTAGTTCAGCTATTTTTCAAGTCTGTGGATCCTCTTATGAAGCACTTATCACTTATTGCTGCTATTTATATTGTGTGATATAACAAAGAAGAATTACATGAAGAACATAATAGGCTATTGTCTATTTATAATACCTGTTCTACTATCAAGCGCACTGTCACTCTGTCAGGCATACCTTTGTAGAAGTACATAAAAGAAAAATTTGAAATTTTGATGAACAGCATTTTAATGGATCATAACATACCTTTGTTCTTTCAGGACAAGTAGATGAATGAATTTCCTTCAAATCAGAAATATTAACTCCATCTTCCTTTAAAATATCAACAGATGGCCTCCAACTTATATGATTGATATAGTTGATTTTCCTGATGCATGCTTCTATCTCTGATTTGTACTTCTCAACCCAAGCAGCAGATGATGCTACTACAGCTACATCTCCAAAGACATCAATGATCAAGCCTGATAACCTGCAGGAAACCAGTAAAAGTCAATTCAAAATGATGGAAGCAACCTTCTAAGGAGGCATATCATTTTATATGAAGTTGTACAAGGAAAGACATTCAAATAAAAAAAAGATATACATCTGGTTTGTAACTTGTATCAGATATTAAAGTATAGAACCATAGGTAGAACAATGCATCAAGGACATTCTCGTTAACAACTTTCCAAGATAACAGCAATATAGTACATTAATTTACAATAAGATGTTTAGCCAAAATGATGAACGGTGTGGGCATGCATATATGTATTATTAAAGAGGTAGAAGGCATCATTGATGAAATAAAATATAATATATTGCATCCTTAACTCTAATACTCAAATAAACTAATCGCTTAGTGACATCCAGACATTGGTACATTTAAGTTGACAAACTGAAACATAAAGAAGGAAAGTTCAGCTGCTTCATCTCTTACCTGTCACCCTCACTATTGATTAGACGATATGCATTTGTATGGACTGAAGGAAGACCCAACCTTCTACGTAATTCAACAGCTGTGTCAATTCTTGTTTCAAGCAGTTTCTCCATGTTCAGTGCACATGATGCATCACTGTATCGTCAAGAATTAAAGTTCAGACGTCTGGTCAACCGTCAATGGGCTAAGCAGAAACAGCAAGGAATAAATAATCATATATATAAACCTGGTAGCTTCATCTTCGAGCTGCATAAGCCGAACACAGAACATAGAAACTGAGTTGTACAAGCCCCACCCTATTGGTTTCTCAGTCCCATCTGCTACCAGAACAATATCTCCAGTCTTAGGAGGTGGCCTCCCAATTATTCTATCAACAGCTCCACTGTACACCATTGGGTTTCCATCCTTAAAGAGTTGTGTCTTCCCCTTTTTTAGTACAACCTTTGCAACACCTACTAAACCCAAACTATTCATAAAATAATTCAGTGAGTCTTAAAGAATATGACTCTCCCATATATGACTGCTGACTTCAGAATTTATGCATAATGAAAACACACAGATGACACAGCCACTAGATTTGGTGCTTACAGAGTGTGTGTGTGTGTGTGTGTGTGTAGAGCACAAACAACTAATTTTGAAAATGAAAGCCACACTCCAAAACTATTGCCAATGACATATGACATTTTGCTTGAAAATTATTGGGCACAATAGCAGGGAAAACAATGGAGGTGTCAAACACATAATAAGCCTAGATCCAAAAACCAGAGTCAGGCTTTATCTAGTTGAATTAATCCATATGACCTCTTTCATCTCATGTAAAGTGATGTTTAATCAGTAATCACTTTTACAAAATTTCCATATGTCTAATGACTCTCGAGCTTAAAAGTCCAAAACAATTGTTATTCTTTTGGAACTATGATTATCAAATTTACTATTAGAATCAGTCCAAAACAACCTGCACATCAAAAGTTGTTATTTTGAACATTTGGTAATAGAATCAGTCTACCATTCAAAGCCCATGTCATCTATGCATTCCCAAACTCAATCAGAATCCAACAAGCCATACAGCTTTTTCTATCTTTGCCTTCTTCACCTAACTTCCTCTTCTTTTTATAGCTAATACACCTATAAATCTCAAACATGGCATTCCAATCCTAAAGAGGAGGAACTGAAAAACACTCAATTAACTATATAATCCAATAGACTATATACCCAAAAAGTTTCAGCTAAAATCAAACAGCATTAGAAAATGGGATGTCATTTTCTACCGTAGTTAACTTTTTGTGTGTGTGTGTACACAAACACAAAAGTAATAGAAACCTTTGGGTTTATGGTAAGCAATTTCTTGAAGGGTGGTTGTAGTAGCTGGCAAAGAACAAACTGAAAGGGACTTCATTAGAAGCGTAGGAAGGTGCTTCATTTCTTTATCCCTCGAGTGCGCCAGTGCGCCTTCACTCTATGAGATAATAAGGGCAAGGTTCGGTTGTGCTTTACCTTGGACTAATTAATGTTAACTTAATTAATAATTTTATATCTTGTACATATAAAATTACATAGACAAAATTTATATTTTTTTTTACTCTATTCTCTTCGCATGATCTTTCACATACTTTTATATGTATGCAGAAAATAAAATTATCTCTTACATAAAAAAACATTAATCCCAATAACTATATTACCCAATCGAACAAAAAATTTCAAGTAAAATCACTAAAAAGAATAGTTTTGAGACATGTTATCTATATTTACATATTTGAATATAAAAATGAAATTCAAAAATATAAAATTGTAAATGTGTATTATTTTTCAATTTTAACTCATTTTAATCAATTCTAAATATCTTACACTTTCATTATAGTTTTTATTCTCTTTGAAAAAACTTTATAATTATAAGATTCTTTATTTTCATTTTTATTTTCTTGGAAAATATGTGAAGATAAGAGGTACAGTTAATGTGCCTTGGAGTATAGTCACTATTATGTGGCGTGTATGCTAAATATATGATGTATTCTATGCTAAAGTAACGCCCGATCGCTTGCAAGATCAAGGACTGTCCCCACAAACTAAAACTAGACTTTTCAGTGTGCTTTGTCCTCACTCACACATTTTCTGCGAAAACTTCTGAGGAGGTCATCCATCCCTGAATTTCTACAAGTTAAGCACGCTTACCTATGGAGTTTTTCCGTTCCAGACAACCAAAAAGTAGATGCATTTTGTTAGTATAAGTAGTACTAATTAATTCTTATAAGTTATCCCCAACTGTACCGTCCTATACCAGCACACTCTCTGCAATCCCTCTCTTTCGGTTGTTGATTCGATTCATTCATATACCCTCCAGCTGCAAGATTTGGCATGAGCCACTCATGACCAATGAATGTCCCCACAAATTAACACGAGACTTTTCAGTGTGCTTAGTCCTCACTCACACACCTCTTGAGAAATGCAAGAACAATGACTGTCTCCACAAACTAACACGAGACTTTTCAGTGTGCTTTGTCCTCACTCACACACTTCATGGGAAAACTTCCCAAGAGGTCACCCATCCTTGAATTTCTCCAAGTTAAGCACGCTTAACTATGGAGTTTTTCCGTTCTGGACTACCGAAAAGTAGATGCATCTTGTTAGTATAGGTAGTAACAATTAATTCTTATAAGTTATCCCCAACTGTACCGTCCCATACCAGCACAGTCTATCGAATCCCTCTCTTTCAGGTGTTGATTCGATTCATTCATATACCCCTCAGCTGCAAGATTTTGCATGAGCCGCTTATTGTCCGCACCCTTTCGGATCGACGATCACTCCTTGCCATTACCAGCCCTTGGGATGTTACATGTCCACCAGCTTCCGCCTGGTTCATCCTCGAACCACATCGTACTGGGAGAGAGGCCCTGCTCTGATACCACTTATAACGTCCGACTGTTTGCAAGATCAATGACTATCCCCTCAAACTAACACGAGACATTTTAGTGTTCTTTTTGTCCTCACTCACAAACTTCCTGGGAAAACCTCCCAGGAGATCACCTATCCCAGAATTTCTCCAAGTTAAGCACGCTTAACTATGGAGTTCTTTTGTTCGGGATATCAAAAAGAACTTGTTAGTATATGTAGTACCAATTAATTCTTATAAGTTATCCTCAATTGTATCGTCCTATACCAACACAGTCTCTAGAATCTCTCTCTTTCGAGTGTTGATTCGATTCGATTCATTCATGTACCCTCAGCTGCAAGATTTCGCATGAGCCGCTTATTGTTCGTGCCCTTTTACACTAGTGATCACTCCCTGCCCTTGCCAGCCCTTGGGATGTTACAACTATGTTATCTGACCTTTCATGCAGTGATATGAACCTCACCAAGAATAGTGAGATCCAAGACCAATTTAGTTAGGATCGTTTCTACAATCAGGAATTTAAAATAAGAAATAAAGAACCTTGAGCCGTTATGTATGGAAGATAAGAACCAAAGGTATAAGAAGGATAAAGACGCCACACTCAAGAAAGAAGAAGGTGAGTGATAAGTCTGTGTTGAACGCCACAAGAATAAACTTCTTGATAAGTTCAGAGTTCTAGATAAGAACCAAAGAGAAAAAACCTCTCTATTATATTATAACTTCAAAATCTGATTACAAGAGTTGTATCCTCCCGTATTTATACTTGGAACATCCCTCCAAGAATAGGAAAAGACTATCAAATGAAAAGACACTAATTTAAAGTTGACAACTTGAAAAAAGGAAAAGACTCTAATCAGCCCACTAAACATTAGTGACATTGAAAATGTGAATCAACCTCACTAAGCATTAATAACATTGAAAATGCTATCAGCCCCACCAAGCATTAATGACATTGAAAATTGCTAATTATTCCACTCAATCTCCCTTGGATTGATGGCATTAACTAAATTCTGATTATGAATAAATTTGGACTTGATGTCTTCATGATTAGCCCACATTTGCTGGATCAACCCACTAAGAGCTTCTTTAAACTTCTTGGCCTTGATCTTGTGATTGGCCCATTTGGCAATTATAATGGATCACTAGGTGTTGTCTCCTTTTTCATATCATTCAGGAAGTGAGCTCATGGGTGGAGACTAATCCATAAATCTTGAGTTTACTGAGATGTTGTCTCTCACCCCGTTTAGGAATATATATTTCAGGTACAATAGCAGCAGGAGAATCCTCGCAGGGAAAAGGATCCGCATAGGGTTAAAGCATATAGGATCAATGAAGATTTGTATGTTGGGATATCTGTATTTTATGTGCATGTTGTAGTATCATGCATTGTTATATAGATAAATATGTATTTTGATGGATGATTGTAGTATACATTTGTGAATCAGGATATGCCAGGATCATGTACATGATGTATATTATATTGTGTGATATTATCAGTAATGGCACCGAGCCATTTTCTGGTACATATATGAATAGGTCATTATGTGGATTGAAATTATTTGTTATCAGGTACAAGATAGTATAGTGGAATTTAATCCCTAGTTGTCTAGTTTATAGCCATTATGTTGTCTGTGAGACTTTATCTAGAATGGTTCGTAATATCATGTTCGGATAATGATATGATCATTAATTATGATCACAGGATTTGTAGAGTAGGGTTTCCGTATAGGTATGTGACTGTATAGATATAAGATAATTGAAAAAAAATAAATTACAAATGGCAATTACATTATGTAAACATAAAGGAATAAGTTAAGTCTTCCGCTACTTTTAACAAATATGCTGCGCTGTTAAGACCATATATTAGTTAACAAACCGATTATTAAATTGGGTCGTTACATTAACCACACAAAGGCAGATCCTAAACATGATTTCGATCACAAGTGGAAGCACAATTATTTCATGGTGTTCAACAAATTTGTTCGAGAGATAATTTGGAAAATATCACTTAATTCAAGTTTTTAGAAGCTGATATATAAGATTGAGATTCATAGACTCAGATACATTAAATGATGTTCAACAAATTTCCTTCACCAAGGTTTTGTCTCATTGGATTTTCTTGGTAAGGATTTTAATGAGGCAGCTTGCTATACATATTATTAGAAATGTATACTCTTTTTCATTCACTAGGATTTTTTTCCCATAGGATTTTTTCCTAGTAAGGTTTTAACGAGGTATATATCTTAATGGACATTCAAGGGGGAGTGTTATCAATAATATTATTGTATGGATGTCCATCCCCCAAAGATAGTATTCCCTATTGTAACTCCTAGAAATTCATTCTTGTCATTATTGTATTGTAACTTATAACATATTCAGAGTTGATAAATAGTAGAACATAAATCTCAAAGAAGTGGACAAATTAGATAAAACTAGTGTATTACGTTGCACGGAGAAAAAACGAAATTTGGTTGTTTGTCTCGTAAAAGTTAACGCAAATCGTAAAAGTATATCACTGCATTTTAGCTTGTCTTGTAGTCATTCAAAAATTACAAAGTTTGACTCGGCTTTTTTCAGTATTTCTCAGAGATGGAATTTCATTTATCATAATCAGATTTACAAAATAAGAATAAATAATTATTTTTTTGCTAGGATTTATGTCTTTAGTATTTGGAATTTTACCAGTTTGTATTTGCAAAAATTGAAATCAGATTTAGGAATTTTAATTATAAAAGAAGAAGGGTGAAATTTTAATTTAATTATAAAAACGTGTTGGAGGGTGGGGAAGGCCGGCCTTCTGGGCTTGTCACCTGTAACTGTCAGCATTTTATATTAGCATATAATAAGATTTTATATTTATCCACACACAAAAGTTTTTATAATTGCGTCTAGTTTCCTATCTATCTATATTTTCTATAGTTGACTCTAAATCGACTCTCTGAGGTGTGTGTGTGTGTATTTGTGACATATATATTAGATGAAGAGTTGGAAAATATTTGAGTTAGTACGTTTAATATTTTAACGAACACTTCATAGTTAAAGTTGAATGGGGTAATATCAAAAGAACATTCATTAGCTTAGTTGCATAAGTATAAATAATTATTCACAAAATTAACATATATATAAGCATATATTTAATGCATAGTATTTTTAAATTTTATCTCAATAATACTTTAACTCTACCAATAATAATTTGGTGAAGAATGTGAAAAGCCAACTACTCACTAGGTTGGAAACATCTAATCGTAAATAATATTAAAATAATGCTATATTGCAAAACATTGAATGGTTATTCCTTTTAATTGAATAATTAATAAGAATAAATAATTATTCTTGCAAGGATTTGTGTCCTTAGTATTTAGAATTTTACAAATTTGTATTTATAAAAAAATAAAATCAGATTTAGCAATTTAATTATAAAAGAAGAAGGGTAGAATTTTAATTTAATTATGAAAATGTGTTGGCGAGCGGGGCGGGTGTAACAGCCTGTTGTACACCGGTATTGTTAACATTAATTATGATATTAAACGCAGTTACAATCACAGCAATTCATTTATAAAAAAACGAGTAAACTTTTTCCGATT